TCTGAGGCTCTGAGCTCTGCAAGCTCTTCTGTGGCATTTGTGGCTGCTGGAAGCAACCACTTCTCGGTTCCAACTCTGGTCTCTTCATATTGGCTGTGTGACTTTGGGCAAGTTACCTAACTTCTCTGAACCTGTCTCCACAGTTATAAAATAAAATGGTAGAGTTGTAATAAAGAATGTGAAAGCACCTGGCACAAACTTGGTAAACCTGGGTTGCCTGCCTGCCTGCCTGCCTTAATTCTCTTCTAAAACAAAAACCAAACTCATTGCCATCCAGTTGAACCCTACTCATAGCAACCCCTCCTTGGGTTTTTGAGGCAGTATCACTACGGAAATAGATTGCCCAACCTTCCTTTAGAGGAGTGGCTGGTGGGTTTGAACCGCCAGCCTTCTGGTTAGCAGTCAAATGCCTTAGGCACTATGCTAATTGCTCTTCATTTGAGCAGTGCTGGTTGCAAAAGGCAGCCTGGCATGGATGACTGACCCTGAGAACAGTCTTGCCCACTCCTAGTTCTGGCCCCAGACTCTGTCCTCTGAGAAGTACGAGCCATTACAGCCCTGCCTGGTGCTAATTACAGGCAGCCTGGCTTTTGGAGTCTATGAGTCCTGTGGAAACTGTACTTCTGTAAATGATATCCTGTTTTCCTGTTTCTGAGCCACTTTCTGTTCATCCAAGAGCCACCCATTTTTGATGGAAAAGTCTAGGCTTTGCTGTGCCTTGCTTTGTATCCTCAGGCAATTCCTTCCTAGTCTAGGGCCTCCCTGTCCTCATCTGTAATGGGAAGAGGGGGTGTGAGGCTACATTCGAGTTTTTCAGCCTTTCACATGTCGTGGCCTACACACAAAATGGTCTTTCCTAGACTCTGTGCTGGGCTAAATGGAACAGTCTGGTTGAGGCACAGGGTCTCCAGCTACCCAGGCCAGCTAGGCCTCCCCCTGGGCTGTGACGATCAGTATCTTCTTCCAGAGGACTGAAGGAATTCTAAGGATTAACATCCAGATGTTGGGGAAGGATTTCTAGAATCCCCCAACGTACCCTGGGGAGCATACCTGGCCAGCATACCACCTGCTGTTGGCATCTTCACCAGCCTTCTGGGGCAGCGAAAGCAACAACACTGCAGCTAACCACGGGCCAGCCCTGTGCTGAAGATCAGCGTGTTTAATTTTCCTAGCAGCCCCGTGGAACCCTGGTGGAGCAGTGGTTAACTAAAAGTCATCAGTTGGAATCTACCAACTGCTCTGTGAGAGAAAGGTGTGGCAGTCTGCTTCTGAGAGATTTACAGCCTTGGAAACCCTATGGGGCAGTTCCTGTCTGTCATGTAGGGTCACTATGAGTCAGATAGACTCAACAGCAGCGGGTGGTTTTAGCAACCCCATAAGGGGTAGGGACAGATGAGGGCACTGGGCCACAGAGAGGTTAGGAGCCACATAGGAGGTGGCACAGGTGGAGAGCAGAGCAGAATTCCAGCCTGGGTCTGGACCCCTGCACACTTACTACATACAAATGGATGAGTGCAGGCATGCCTCTGGGGGGAGCTCCTCAGAGAAGCTCAGAGCCTGGGGACAAGTCAAACCAAAAAACCAAACCTGTTGCTGTCAGTTGTTCTAACTCACAGCAACCCCATAGGACAGAGTAGAACTGCCAAGGCTGTGTTCTGGTGGCATAGTGCCTAAGGCATTTGCTAACCAGAAGGCTGGTGGTTCAAACCCACCAGCCACTCACTCCTCAGAAGCAAGATTGGGCAATCTACTTCTGTAGAGATACTGCCTCAGAAACCCAAGGAGGGGTCACTATGAGTCAGGACTCGACAGTGAGTTTGAGTTAAATCTTTACAGAAGCACATTGCCACATCTTTCTCCCACGGAGCAGCTGGTTGGTTCAAACCACTGACCTTTCATTTAGCAGCCACACACTTAACCACTGTGCCACCAGGGCTCTTGAGGACAGGTCCAGAGGGCTGTCATGGCGAACATGTGTGCCCAGCTATCCTCCTCCTTCCTCTCTCAGGGTAGGCCACGGCTAGCTCCTTTCCCCAGAGACCACCCTGGGCAAGGTGAGAGTCAGGCCCCTCCATGCTGCATACTAAATTTCTGGAGGGGTAGGAGGTGTCACCTTCACTCAGAGGGAGTTAGCACAGATGCTGGCTCCAGGTATGTTTATACCAGGAGGAGCAGACAGCAACCCAGGGCACTGGCTTCTGGGGCCTCCCTGGCCCTGGGGTTTACATTAGAGGCCTTAGGACAGGTCCCTGGAGACCAGGACGAAGACAGCAGCTTGGATGGTGCTGTCCCTTGGGGGTGCTTTGGCAGAGCTAGAGCAATATTTTCCTGCCTTTTAATGTGTTGAAGTTGGTGGCAGTTGACTGGGGGGAGGGGCACTCTTGGGAGGTGTGGAAGCCAGCTGTGGGAAGCCATGTCATACTTGGTTACCTTCCTCTGTTCATTCTCATGACAAAAGCCTTGAAAGGATCATTTGAGGTCACCCACCTATGTCTCCTTGGAAAGTACCTTTGGCTTCTCTGGGCTGTAACTTGCTCATCTGAGAAGAGATGGGATGGAAGGAGTTGGATAATAAATCGTGCTTCACCCAGACACCAGAACACTACTCAGGCATTAAAATGAAGTGGGTCAGTATGGGAGCTGGTAGCATAGTGGCTAAGACACTTGCCTGCTAACCAGACGGCTAGCGGTTCAAACCCACCAGCCACTCCTCGGAAGGAAGGTTGGGCAATCCTACTTCCGTAGTGATACTGCCTCGGAAACCCAAGGAGGGGTCGCTATGAGTCAGGGCCGACTCGACGGCACATGACAACAACAATATGTTCTGACATAAGAAGATGGCCACAAGATAGTATAAAGTGGGAAACCAAGTTGTATAGCAGAACTTACGGTCTAATCACATTTCAATTAAAAAACTCATACAGTTGGTAGCATATGGATAGAAAAAGTATCTAGACATATCTATACAGCAGGATGTTAGCAGATTTTCCCTGGGGGTGGGAGAGGCTTATAGTTTTGTAATACCAGTGTCGGGAAAGCACAAGGGGGCCGTGTGCTTTCTGGGTTCACGTTCTAGTGTATAGTCTGCTTGTCTGGGAGTAGGCAGATGCTTGAAGCTGCTGGGGGTGGGGAGCAGAGTAGAGGTAACATTTTGGAACTGAGGGGATTGGCTTAAAGTGACAGAGGGAATCAGTGGCAGTGAGGGGTCTTCTGATCCCATATGAAGTCCCTTCCTGTACCTTCCCGCACCCCAAGCCCCTCTGGTCTTGTCTTTCTCATACTGTCTGCTGTTTGGCACTTGGAATCATGGCAAGAAAATGCATTATGTTGATTTCCTCACATGAACATTTCTGTGTCAGCTGTTCACGTTATGACCCCAAACTCCTAGAAAAGTGATGAAAACACGTTTGCATCTGTTTTATCAAACTTAAGACTTATTTGATAGAACAGGCCCTTAAAATACAGCAGCCACTTTTCTACAATTAACAGAATCACTGTCAATCTGATGATATGCATGAGAAAGCCAGAACATGATGCCTGCCCTAACAGAAGCACCATCTCCAGTATGATTTATATGCCTGGTTCTAAGTGGCTGGGCAACTTCCTGTCACCGATTTAGGTCCTTAATGGTGCTTGATTTCCAGTCCTGTCCATACAGGTTCCTCAGACTCATAGTACTGGGGCTGGAGGCCTGGTTGGCTGGGATGGGGGTACTGGATTTGGTTGGGATTAGAACAGAGTTTATGATAAATATAGTTCCTAGAGGTAGCTTCGAGAAGAATAGGGTCCAGAAGAAACATCTAGGGCATTCTGTTTTAATATGAAGGTAGCACTCAATGTTCTATAAAAGCAAATCTGCATCTCTGATAAATTAATGAAAACATCAGCATGGCATTGGGGCGAGGGGAATGAAGTCCAGGGACTGACAATGTCGACAGGTCCCTCTGCTTCTCTCTGTTGGGCTGGTGTTTCTCCAGGGCTGGACTGAGCTTTACAGGCCTGACATGAATTCCTTGAGTAGGAACTGGACCTCCTCTATCAGCCAGAGGTTCTCTAAGGATAGAAACCATGTTTCCTCTCTCAGGCTGGAAGCTCCTGGTGACACTGGGGAATCCTGCCTCTGTATCCCCAAAACTTTACTAGTGGAACGCTGCATTAGTGCCCTAGGTGAACACCCTTGATGGTAGGGCCGTGATGTTGGGACCGTGACGTGGGATGATGAGGGAAGCAGAGACTGGATGGGATGGGAAACCAAAGGGGCAGGACATTGTCCTGCACAGAGTCCCCATCCCCCAACCAGGTCCTCAGGAGTCCTTGGTAGTATGTGAAGTGGTGTAGACCAGTGACTCTGGCTCCATATGACCAGAGTTCAAATATTAGCATCTCCACTTACTCCACGTGTATCCTCCAATCTTCCCATGTGCAAAATGGGAATGCTAGAACTTACCTTATAGTATTGTCAGGAGTTAGCCCACATGGAGTGTTTAGGTTGATGCCTGACATACAGGCAGCCCTTAGCAAGGGTACCTTTCTGTGTTGGTAAAAAGCTAGCAGTTTAATTATTGCAGCTGGAGAGAAAGCAAAATGAAGTCATTCTCACCTGGGCGTGGTAGGATTTGGCCCTGCCTGCCCCCTGATTTACTAAAAACCACCCCTTCACCTGAGCTCTTCTTTGTTTGCCTCCGCCCCTGACTCCCTTGTTCCAGGTGGGACCCTCCGTGGAGCTGGCGCCAGGATGCCCCAGGGGTGCGGATGAGCCGCCCTGCAGCCCCCACTCGGCTCTGGCCCGGATGCCGCCTCCAGAGGACCGCTCCCGGAGGGCCTCCTGTGGACCCGCGCGCGCAGTCTCCTGACCAGAGACCCCGGCCGGTCCTTTCCCGCCCAGCCACCTAGGACGCGGGGGAGCTGCCAGAGGGAGCTCAAGGGGAGGACAGTGGAGGGAGCCCGGGGAAGGGACCTCGCTGCCGGCTGGAAACATTTTCCCCAAGCGGCTCCGCAAAATGACCAGCTTGTTCCGCCGGAGCAGCAGCGGCGGCGGGGGCGGAGGTGGCATCTATCTCGCGGTTGTTTTCATTTGCATCTCTCTCATGGCCAGTGATCCTGAATGACATTTCTTCCTGTGCGCGGCGGCGGCGGGGGCGGCGGTGCCGTTGGCCG